AGAAAAATACTAATAATAAGAAAAAGAAAAAGACGAATAATATGAATAATAATATTAAGAAGAAGACGAATAATAAGAATAAGAAGAATAATAATAAGAAGAAGAATGATAAGAAGAATAACAAGAAAATTAATAATACTAAGAAACATAAGAATAAGACTAATAAGAATAATAAGAATAATAAGAAGAATAATAAGAATACTAATAAGAAGAATAAGAATAAGAATAATAAGACGAATACGAATAATAATAAGAAAAATAAGAATAATAATACTAATAATAATAAGAAGAATAATAATAAGAAGACGAAGAATAATAATAATACGAATAATACTAATAATACTAATAATAATAAGAAGAAGAAGAATAATAAGAATAATAATACTACTACGAAGAATAATAAGAATAATAATAATAATAAGAAGAAGAATAATAATAAGAAGAATAAGAAGAATAAGAAGAAGAATAATAATCAGAAGAAGAAGAATAAGAAGAAGAATAATAATAATAATAATAATAAGAAGAAGAAGAAGAAAAAGAAGAAGAAGAATAATACGAAGAAGAAGAAGAAGAAAAAGAAGAAGAAGAAGAATAAGAAGAAAAAGTAGAAGAAGAAGAATAAGAGGAGGAGGAGAGGAGGAGGCCGGAGGCGGAGGGCAGGGGCAGGGGCAGGGGGAGGGGAGGAGGCAGGAGGAGGAGGAGGAGGAGGAGGAGGAGGAGGAGGAGGAGGGAGGGGAGGAGGTGAGGAGGAGAGGAGGAGGAGGAGGAGCGAGGAGGAGGAGGAGGAGGAGGGGAGGAGGACGAGGCGGGAGGAGGAGGAGGAGGGGGGAGGCTTATTGAGAAGGACGCGGAGGATGAGAAGATGATGATGATTGATGATGATGATGATGATTTGGGGGGGGGGTGATGATGATGATGATGATGATGATGATGCTGATGTTGATGATGATGCTGATAAATGATGATGATGCTGATGATGATGGTGATGATGATGATGATCTGCTAGCTGCTTGCTGCTGCTGATTGATGGATCCTGATGCTGCTTTGCCTGATGCTGATGCTGCTGATGAGATAGATGATTCCGGTGCTTTCTGATGCCTGATATGATGATGATGATGCTGATGATGATGAATGATGATTGATGGATGATGATGATGCTGATGATGATGATGATGGTGTGATGATGCTGACGGTGATGATGATGCTGATGAGATGATGATGATGATGATGAGATGATGAGTGATGATGATGATGATGTGATACTGATGATGATGATGACTGATGATGATGATGATGATGATGTGTGATGATGATGATGATGATGATGATGATGATGATGATGCTGATGCTGATGATGATGATGATGATGATGATGAGATGATGATGATGATGATGCTGATGATGATGGATGATGGGATGAGGAGGACGGAGGAGGAGGAGGAGAGGGGGGAGGAGGAGGAGAAGAGTAGGAGGAGTAGGAGGAGGAGGAGGAGGAGGAGGAGGAGGAGGAGGGAGGAGAGGAGGAGGATGAGGAGGAGGAGGAGGAGGAGGAGGAGGCGTTGGAGGATTTGGTGGAGGAGGGAGAAGAGGAGGAATATGAGGAGCTGGAGGATGAGGAGGAGGAGGATGAGAAGGTGCATAATGGATGAATACGGCTGTTGACCTTGTCATCTTTAGACCTGGGGTTCTAGAGGGCTCTTGGCGGCTTTTGGGGCCTTGTGCCGATCATGGTGACGACGACGAGGAGGAGGAGGAGGGATTATGCTGATATTGTTGATGATGATGCCGATGATGATGCTGATGCTGATGCTGATGCTGATGCTGATGCTGATGCTGATGCTGCTGATGATGCTGATGATGGTGCTGCTGCTGCTGCTGATGCTGATGATGAATATGATGCTGCTGCTGCTGATGCTGATGATGCTGCTGCTGCTGATGATTCGAATGAAATGCTGATCACATTGATGTTTATGCTGCTGCTGCTGCTGCTGATGATGATGATGATGATGCTGCATCTGGTGGCGGTGTTGGTGGTGGTGGTGGTGGTGGTGGTGGTGAGCAGGAGGAGCAGGATGATGATGATGATGATGATGATGCTGATGATGCTGCTGATGATGATGATGATGATGATGATGGTGATGACGATGATGATGATGATGATGATGATGATGATGATGATGATCATGATGAGGATACTGACTATGCTGATGATGCTGCTGCTGATGATGATGCTGCTGCTGATGCTGATGATGATGATGCTGATGACGATGCTGATGATGATGATGATGATGATGATGATGATGATGATGCTGATACTGATGCTGATGCTGCTGATGATGATGGTGATGATGATGATGATGATGATGATGGTGATGCTGATGATGCTGTGATGATGCTGATGCTGATGCTGATGATGATGGTAAGAATGATGCTGCTGCTGCTGCTGATGCTGATGATGATGATGATGATGCTGATGATGATGATGATGATGATGATGATGATGATGATGATGATGATGATGATGATGAGGATCAGGAGGAGGAGTATGAGGCAGATGAGTGGGATGAAGACGAGGAGGAGGAGGCGGAGTTGGTTCGATGGGCGATGGGGAAGGAGAAAAGGAGGAGGAGGAGGACGAGGGCAACCTTTTTGTTATATCACTATGAGCATTGCTACTACTACAGCTCATACTTAGATGCGTACTATCACGATGCATGCGGCTACCCAACATACGTCTGCGAGTGCGAAGCATGGAACATACAACGCCTGTAAAAAGAATCTGGCTGATCCTACCAATGCTGTTACGAAGAGACGAGGAGGAGGAGGATACTAGTGATGATACGGTGGAGGAGGATGAGGATGGGGAGGAGGAACATGATGATGAGGAGTGAGAGGGAATGATGTGGGATGCTCTCGGGGCTCTTTGGGGTAAAGGAATCAGGAACAAAAGGAGGAGGAAGAGGAGGAGGACGAGGAGGAGGATGAGCAGGGGGAGGAGGAGGAGGAGGAAGAGGAGGACGAGGAGGAGAAGGAGGAGGAGGAGGAGGAGGAGGAGGAGGAGGAAGAACAGGACGTGGCGGTGGACGTGGTGGCGGTGGCGGCTGACCAGGAAATAACGTCTCAACAGGAGGTTTCGACGTGTGGGGGAGGGGAGGAACCTATGGCTTCCAGCAGCTCTCCTGGGAACGTCGATAATTAGGCTTGATCAGATGGTTTTCACTCTCTGGTTCGAGGCCCCCGATTGGGGTTGCCTCCCGTGAGACCTTGCGTGCGTGCCAGCTCGCCCTGGGCGCAGAGCGTCAGCGCGCTTGTCAGGCGACTTCCTCCGCGCGTCGCGTTGCCAGCGCGGTTGCCAGGAAGCTCATACCGAGCGCTTCCGCTCTGTCCAGGCGACCATGCGACGACCGTATTGCCAGCCTTTCTGCCGACCGCTTGTCGATCTCGGCCGCTTGACGTTTTTGTAGGTCAGCGGCGTAGTCAGCAGATCATATATGAACTTGGTTCGGGTGCATCCCCCTATCGTCCTTCAGGCATCAGAAGCAGCTGCAGGGATGGTGATACGGATTATGATGATGCTGCTGATGATGCTGATGATGATGATGATGATGATGATGATGCTGATGCTGATTATGATGCTGATGATGATGATGACGTTGATGGTGATGGTGCTTATGATGATGCTTATGATGCTGATCATGACGATGCTGATGCTGCTGCTGATGGTGCTGATGACAGTGATGATGCTGACGATGATGACGATGCTGATGATGCTTATGATGATGGTGGTGGTGATGATGCTGATGACGATGATGATGCTGATGATGATGATGATGATGCTGATGCTGATGATGCTGATGCTGATGATGCTGACATTGATGATGATGCTGATGATTTTGATGATGATGTTGTTGATGATGATGATGATGATGCTACTGATGATGCTGATTAGGCGGCTGATGATGATGAGGATGATGATGACGATGCGGATGATGAATCCGACGCTGCTGCTGCCGATGATGATGCTGCTGCTGCTGATGATTCGGATGCTGATGACGATGATGATGCTGATGATGATGATGCTGATGAGGATGCTGATGCTGGTGATGATGATGAGTATGATGATGATGCAGATGATGATGATGATGATGATGATGATGATGATGATGATGATGATGATGATGCTGATGATGATAATGATGATGATGCTGATGATGATGATGGTGCTGATTATGATGACGATGATGGTGACGATGATGCTGATGATGATGATGATGATGATGGTGATGATGATGATGATGATGATGATGATGATGATGATGATGCTGATGATGATGATGATGATGATTGATGATGAATGATGATGATCTGATTGTATGCCTGATTGTTGGATGCTGCTGATGCTGATGCTGCTGGTGGTGATGATGATGATGCTGAGCTGATTGGACGATGATGGTGATGATGATGATACTGATGATGAGATGATGATGATGCTGAAGATGATGATGCTGATGCTGATGCTGATTGCTGATGATGATTGATGATGATGATGATGATGTGATGATGATGATGAGGATGATGATGATGGTGGTGTGGTGGATGGGGGTGAGGAGGAGGAGGAGGAGGAGGAGGAGGAGGAGGAGGGGAAGGAGGAGGAGGGAGGAAGGAGGAGGACGAGGGAGGACGAGGAGGACGAGGACGAGGAGGACGAGGTGGGGGAGGAGGAGGCGGAGGAGGCGGTAGCGGAGGCGGAGGAGCAGGCGGAGGAGGAAGAGGGAGGAGGTAGGAGGAGGAGGAGGATGAGGAGGAGGAGGAGGAGGAGACTCAGGAAGAAGGAGGAGGAGGAGGGATGAGGGGAGGAGGCGGAGGAGGAGGAGGAGGAGGATGAGGCGGAGGCGTAGGCGGAGGAGGAGGAGGAGGAGGAGGAGGAGGAGGAGGAGGAGGAGGAGGCGGAGACAGGAGGGGGGCGCCTTTCGGACGGGACCCGCGGGCCTGGCGGGCAGGCTCGAGAGCGTGTCGGAGAGGTCGCAGGAGTCCGACAGCAACTCCGAGGACGAGCCATCTCGGGGCCCTGGAGACGGGCATGTCGACGGGCGGGAGTCGAATGATACGTATCGGCAAACACATAGGGTCAGGAACTTTGGCTTAGCGTGTCGCGCCGCCGCTTCTGGCCCACAAAGCTTCGGCGCGACACGCTATCCACGTCCCAGTCCCCACGAGTCAACGTCCCGAGCCTTTCCCAGCCTCCCATCCCACGGAGCGGAGCGACACGCTATCCGCTTGCGGTGGCCGCCGCGTGGGAGTATTTTTTTCCTCGTATTGTTGGGGTCCCAAGCCGTCAATCAGCCCGCTCTAGACATAATTCGTTTTCCAGTACGGGGGCGGTAGAGACGTTTTGAGGTCACTCCTTCCCCTCTCTTTGCCCTTCTCCCCCTCCCTCCCCTCCCCTCCCTCCCTCCTTGCCTCCCCTCGTCCCCCCCTCCCTCCCATCCTTCCCTCGTCCTCCCGCCTCCCTCCTCTTCCCTTCTCCCCCCTCGCGGATCTGGCAAGTGCTCCCGCTCGCGACGTCCCGGTCTGAAGGGGTCCCCGACCGTTGTCGCCAGGCTCTCAGGGAGAACAGCACTCATCCTGGGGTCTGCAAGGGAGGGCGCCCGTTCCGCGTATCCCGGCCGCCCCCCAGGCCAAGGAGGAGGAGGAGTAGGAGGACGAGGAGGAGGAGGAGGAGGAGGAGGAGGAGGAGGAGGAGGAGGGGAGGAGCAAGAGGAGGAGGAGGAGGAGGCGGAGTATGAGGATGATGAGGAGGAGGAGGGGAGAGGAGGGGAGGGGGGAAGAGGAGGGGAAGGGGAGGGGAGGAGTGGGAGGAGAGGAGAGGAGAGGAGAGGACAGGAGAGGAGAGGATAGGAGAGGCGAGGAGAGGAGAGGGGAGGGGAGGGGAGGGGATGAGAGGGATGATGATGATGAGGAGGAGGGGGAGGAGGAGGAGGATCATTTGGAGGAGGAGGAGGAAGAGGAGGAGGTGGGGGAGGAGGAGGAAGAGGAAGAGGACGAGGAGGAACATGGTTACTCCTCCTCCTCCTACTACTACTACTACTACTACTTCTACTTATTCTACTACTACTACTACTTTTACTTTTACTTTTACTCTTCTACTTCTACTTCTTCTACGACTCCTACTATTACTTCTTCTTCTATTACTCCTACTACTACTACTACTGCTACTACTACTACTACTACTACTACTACTACTACTACTACTACTACTAATCATAACACTGGTAATACTCAGAAGAGTAATCCACCTAAGACTAACACTAATGCATCTAATACTGATACTGCGATAAGCAATCTTTCTACTACTCCTACAACAACAACTACTACTACTACTAGTACTAAGACGAAAACTGATAATCCAAGTACGAAGAAGATGACCCACATGCATACCAATCAGACGAACACTACTACTAAGAACAATACTCATACTACTGGTATTACGAATCGTACTACTAATAGTAAGACAACGAATATGAACACTATACTAGCAATAAGCATACTCTTACGAGTACTACTACTACTACTACTACTACTACTACTACTACTACTACTACTACTACTACTACTACTACTACTACTACTGCTGCTGCTGCTGCTGCTGCTGCTGCTGCTGCTGCTGCTACTCCTAATACTACGAACATGCATGATAATAGTACGACTGATCCTGTCAGCTCTATTTGTATTTATACGACTACTACTACTGCTGCTGCTGCTACTACTACTACTGCTACTACTACTACTGCTACTACTACTAACACTACGGCGAAAACTAAGAATACGAATAAGCAGATAAGAGTTTTCATACCAATACTAATCAGAAGGAGGCGAAGACTACGATTATTAAAACAAGTGAGAGGATTCATACTAATACGAATGAGGATAATAATGCGAGGAGGAGGGTGAGGAGGGTTAGAAGGAGGAGGGGGAGGAGGAGGAGGAGGAGGAGGAGGAGGAGGAGGAAGAGGAGGATGATGATGGAGGAAGACGAGGAGGAGGATGAGCAGGAGGATGAGGATGAGGATGAGGAGGAGGAGAATCTGGATTCGGAGGAGGAGGAGAATTCGGAGGAGGCGGAGGACCAGGAAGAGAAGGAGGAAGAGGAGGAGGAGGAGGAGGAGGAGGAGGAGGAACGGGCGGGAGAGGAGAGGGAGAAGAGGGGACGGGGGGGAGAGGAGGGGGAGGCGGAGGAGGAGGAGGAGGAGGAGGAGGAGGTGGATGAGGACCAGTGCAAACCCAAGAGTCACCAACGATGTTGAATTAACCATCCCTCCAAGCTCCCTCTTCATAGGCCCCTACAAGGGTTCATTTCCAGTTAGGGAACTGCTTCGTTGGAGGCCAACCGTGTGAAGACCCTGATGCGTGCCACCACATCGTTCTCGGGATTCCAGCGCCACGGATCAACCTGACTGTTGCGTCCTGGCGATCCGGAATCGTACCAGAACGCCATTCTTGGGAGTTCAACGCCGCGGCTCGACGCAACTGCTGCGCCCCCGTCTCGTGACCCCCGACGCGCCGGGCCCTCCGCGGACCCGACGTCGCCGTCGCCGTCGCCGTCGTCGTCGCCGTCGAACGCCGTCGCCGTCGCCGTCGCCGTCGTCGCCGT